GGCCTTCAACATTCAGTTGCCATATTTGGACCAAAGGTTTGAAAATTCACAACTCTTTGTTCCATCCATTTAGGATGTTCAGAATTAATTTTGTTTTGGCTAAGGGTTCAAAGAAAGTTTGGCAATTAATTCTTTGAGGTATGGTATGCTTGAAGTGAGAGCTCTTCAGCATCACCCATTTGTGATTTAAGGTTTGTCACTGATACGAGCAATGACTCTTTTTAATTATATTCTGAGAATTTAGTGAGTCATTATGTGAGTTAACTTCAAGGCAGTGGCAAATCTTGTGTAATTCATGGATATTGCTGAGTCAAGAGTTCAAAATCATGGGATTTAGTTATCTAAGGGACTTTATTTATTATATGGAAAGTATAGAATTTATGTGTGTAAAGACTGATTTTCAACAGTACTGTTTTTGGTTTGTACAGCCCTTGTGACAAAATTACCTGTTTTAAATCATTGGTGCACTTGAATACTTTTATTTTCAGTCCCAACTGACCGAATACTGTGCCCCTGAACTCTGTGATTTGAAGATGTCTTGAATCTTTCTACATCAATGTGAGTTCAAATATTGCTTTATACTTACTTTTCAAGTTATGTTTATGTAGGAATTGTTAAAAATTACAGTAATAGAGATTACAAGGTTGCTTAACAACTCTGTGCCTAATTGTGAAAGATAATTATGTTCTTGATAGTCTAGTGAATATATTGAATTTGTCTGCATCAACAGTTAAGTTTTTTTTGGGTTTACTCTCAAGAAGAGATGTACAATTTATACATTTCCAAGAAAGGCATTACTGAGATTCAGTTGAGCATCACTTATAACTTATGTGGATTGGAAATAAAACTAAGGTTTTAATTAAATAGCATAACATATATTTTCTTACATCATATCTCTACAAAAGCACCAGTTCTTGGGATAAAAGAGATCAACAAAACTGAAAAGAAAATGGAGGAAATTAGCATATTTCTATGACTCAAAAACAAGTATCAAAATACATATTATTTTTAAATGAAATAAATCTGAATTAATTGATTTATTTTATTCATTCAGAAAAATTAAGAAAATGCTTTTAAATAATAGAAGTAAACAGACAACAACAACAAAACAACTTTATTTTGTTATAGTTTTCATGTTTAACAAAATCTTGAGTAATAAATATTTACTTATGGTATTAACATATTCAATTAATGCAGAGGTGCTAATACCAAACTACATCATGTATGAAACAAATAATGTCAATTTATTAAATAATCAGAACACAAACTTCTTATAATCTGTGTGTGATACTTACAAAATCCTACAGCCAAAGCTAGAAGTCCGAGTATGCACAATCCAACAAGACAGGAAATTATAAGGCCCGTGACCATCATCACAATAGTATCAACATACAAACCAATTAATCGTAAGAATGGTGACAGCAATGGAACTTGGTTTGTTGTCCTCCCATTTATTGGATTTTGGTTCTGAAATTGAAAATATACAATATATTATAAACATTTGTTACATTATAAAATAGGAAAAGAGATTTGAGATAGCTGGTGCTTAAACCAAGATCATGGCCAAGACCAAGGCCACAAATTTGAGACTGATGGTACTGAAACCAAGACCAAAACGTCATCCATGGATGAGGGGACACAGGGGTCACATTTTATTAATTTTGTTAAAAATAATTCCTACATAATGATTACATCAAATCCGAAAAAAATCGGTCCGAATGGCCAAAATCGCTAAGGCACTACTGCCTTAGCGATCTCGGACCGAAGGATCGCGGGTTCGAGTCCCGCCTCGGGCATGGTTGTATAGTGTTTGTCCTTTCACACCCCTATCATCATATCGTGCCATCCTCATAGTTACCATACCGTTACACGCTATAGTGGTCGCTAATGACCTAGTTGTTGATGCGACCTTAACAAAAAAAAATCCGGAAAGAGTTTTCTCGTTATGAATATATAGTTTTTAAAATGTCTAGCAAATTATTTTTTACTGTTCAAAAATTGAGGTGTGTCTGAATTGAAATACCCTCCCTGAATTACTTCTTAATTCTCCTTTCATAACGAGCTACTTCACTTGTTGGTTTGGGGAAAAAAACGAGATGTATATCAGTGTTTCAGATTTAAACAGTAATGAAGTTTAAGCTCCCGATTGGATGACAGTCTTAGGCGTGGCACTCACATTACGATGCGAGTAAACCGGAATGGTTTACCTCTGTAAGCAAAGCACACACACGCTACGGTAAACCGGAAACATTTAATTCAGTCGAATAATGGCAAGCTACCAAGAACGCGAGTGTTTTGATTAGTTTGTTAGTGGCCATGAAGTGTAAAAAGAAGCGAAAACGCAAAGCCTGGTGAAAAGATTGGCTTACAAAGAGAAATGAACACAATCATACAACGTTACTAAAAGAGTTAAGTTCAGATCCTACAGGTTACCGTAATTATTTTCGGATGAATGAAGTTGCCCCAAACTGTTGTGACTTGTAACTTCTCTAATTCAAAAGAAAAATACAGTTACGAGAACTTTTGTTTGTCCCCATTAGAGACTGACAGCTACTTTGAGGTTTCTTGCGACGGGTCAATCGCACAAATATATCAAGTATTCTACTCTAATATCAGCCCAAGCTCTTGGCAAAATAATTCCGGAGGCATGTAAAATCTTCTAATATGTGTTGAAAAACGTATCGTAGGCGTTATCACTCGTTAACTATTGTGCACGTAAATACAAAGACGACAGACGCTCTGTACTCAAGGAACTAGCCACAACTAACTTGTACAGGTAGACCGAAGTGACTCACACGCACGGCCAGGTTGACACGCATGCCTAAGTAGAAAGAATTGAATTTCGATTCTTCTCCTGTCGCCTGCTCAGGTCGCTACGCCTGTGCAATTTGGCTTGCAGCGGCTGGCACACACGTTCTGGTTTACCTGTACCGCTACAGGTAGACTTCACCGATATACCGGAACGTGTGAGAAGGGGCCAAAAGCTGATTAAAAGTTAACGGACTCGACGTGTAGATCAGGTCCGCAAATCTCAGTGACTCGTGGGGCGATCGAGAGCCGGCTCGCTTCTCGGAAATTACGCCGCGAGCTACTACGTTGCGTCGGAGAGGTAAATGGATTTGGGAAGGGCCTACAGGGCTGTTGAAGCTCAATGCTGTAGCTGCTGAAGCAGCAGTCGGCTCCAGAGTACACGTCACGGAAGCTATGCGAATAATCTTTATCTTCCCGGCTTTCGTACGGTACAGGGTATGCAAACAAGCAAAACAGCGCGAACAGAATTGAATGGGTGAGCGGGAAAACAGCACTGATCCAAAAAGTTAATTTAGAAATAATTCAAAATACAACTTTTGATTAGACACTACCTCTAACCCGTGGTGTAGAAAGAATTCATGTTTTGTGGGACCTTGAGACCAAACAATCGAAGGACGGCAAAACGTGTGTCTGTCCGTCCGTATGTAGGCAACTCTAGTGGCTTCGCCGTTCAGCCGATTTCCTTCAAAATTGATATTCCCCAATAGATCTGACCGATGTCGCACCTTGAAATTGAAATCGATATTTTAATTTGGGAGGGTACTTTGGCATAAAACTTCTGAAAAATTTCAAAAAATGGCGCCATGGTTTTGTATTAAAATGTGTTGTTTGATAGTGTGAAGGACGTTTAAGAGAATTGTGTAGGTCTCATGGTAATTGTAAATCCTGATTTGTCGAAAATTGCAAAAGTTCAATTTTTTTGAGTCTTCTTACAACTAAAATTTTTTAGAGATTTTGAAATAAGATCATGTAAAATTTTTCGAAAATTTGAGTACTTTTTGCGTAATTTTGCGTGAAAACGCATTTTTGCAACACAATAGTTTATCTTTTCTACGTAAGAATGTAGTATGGAAAGAAAGAAAAATGTACCGAATTTCCACTCAGTGATCGTTTTAACCATTCATTGATTCCAAAATTCGGAGAGAAGTTTGATACAATTTTTAACTCCAGATAATGGGTTTCCCATATTTGTATAGAATATTCGATGTTTCGTTCGTTGTTTATTGTCTTTCATAACAATAAGTATTAATATTGCGTATCTCTGAGATGCCAACAGTACCTTCAAGTATGACTTGGAACTTCGAGCTATTCAAAGGGAAGGTACTAAAGGGGTTTCAAAACGTTACAACCCGTTTTAAAGAGAAAAATCAAATTACGAATTTAGATATTACTTACCCTTCTGATCAATTTATCCTTGAAATTTTGGTGGAAGTGCTGATAAGCGTTGTAAATGTGATGAAAGAAATAGAGCGTGTTGAGAAATAAGATGACATCGATAACAATTAGAGGTATCAGGAAAACTGAAACAAAAACATAAATAAATTTACATTTTGAACTTGAAATCATTGATGTGGATCTACAAATATTACAACTAGTAGTCCCTACAGAATGGAACAGACTTTTTCGTATTAGTTTTCTATTTTCCTAGGTTTGGGCTAGCTATTGGAACTTGCCACATACTCATGCAGTTGCCATCTATAGCCGCCCTAAGTCAATTGTTTAAAACTTTTCTCAATTTTTCGGTTTTCTATTCATTTAACCGAAATATTACTTTACGGATTCTATTAAAGAACAGTAAAACCGCGTTCTAAATGACAATTTTTCTGGAAAAAATTAGAGCCATTTTAAAACAATGGCTTTTAAGCGCTCCAGTCAATGCGCAATTTCAAGCTCTTTTTCACAGAAAATGTTTGAATTTTCGAAAACCTTATTTTAAGATTATTAAAGAACAGTAAAACCTCCAAAATGGCAATTTTCTTTGAAAAATTTGGAATTGTTTTGAAGAAAATGGCGTTTAAGCGCTATTATAAATTCGGAATTCGAACCTCTTTTCACAGATAACTATTGAGTTTTCTAAAAAACTGCAAGTGATGTAATTCCAAGCCTTCCCAATTTAAAATGTGTTTACAAATCGCTGGAAATTTGCATAATAAAGTCGTGAGAGTTATTAATAAAGATACATTTGTGTAATTTGTGAAAAAAAAGTGTTCAGCAAAATGAATTCTATGCCATCTTAAAAAGGGCAATTAGCACTATCCCGTGGAAAAGTTTAAAGAAAAAATTTGCAGCCGTTTTTGAGAAAATATTTTTGTTATATTTCAAAATTGCAAATATTGCAAGAAAACTACTAAAATTTTCAAAAAAATGTTCATGACATTATTGAAAGAACTAAATATGGAGAACAATCTTAGTTTGAAGGAAATATCTCTATCTTCAATGTTATAGGAAGACGCGGGAATAATTCAAACTTTTGCAATTTTCGAAACTTCAGAGTTAACCGCGACAATCAGACCTCTGCCACCATTATAAGTGTGTTTTACTCTATTCTTACAATAAATGCAAAGAAAAAATTCGAGCGGTTTTTGAAAAAAAAATGAAAATGTCCGGGGGAATTCATGTAAAATACACCGAAATTTTAAAGATTTTTTCTCAAAATTGCGATATCTCGAATGGAGTCAGATCGACCGGGGAATATCCATTTTGGAAAAAAACTTGCACGTATGGTTAAGGCGTTATTGGCGTTCACAGACTGACTGAGACTGACACAGACTGGAATGGTGGAGGGACATGTGAAAAAAAGAAGAAAAAACACCACTTTTTGGTGTCAGGGAACACCAAAACGTGCATATTGTAATCTTGAAATCTCGAAATTGGTTTTCCACATCTTTAGATAACTTTCCCTATACTACGTATATAGGGATGTATACGGGTAAGTAAAAATCCATAAGTTCAGTATGAAATAGTAGATGATTTACTAAAAGTAGTTGCACATTCCTGGAACTGACATCCTTTTCGTGTTTACTGCACTTAAGTTTCTAAATTATATGTTTTTAAAGATGTTGATTTCTTTGGCAAAACTTACTTTTCCCCTTTGACAATCCTTAGCGTCCCGAATGTTTTCATAATCGACCTTTTTCCGTCTAGTTCCTATGTTTATTTTAATTTTTAAGACATAAAGATTCTTGGCTGTTAAAATAGGTTTCCGCGTGAATTGTTAAAATGTTGAAGCTTCTTAATTTATTTCAAATTATTGCTATATATAACTAAGTAACTGGCAACTAGATACTCCATAAGTTTGCAGACCACTAACGTAAGACTTACCGGCCTATAATTACTTAATATAGTTTTGTCACCATTTTTAAAATTGGTACGACAAATGCTAATTTCCAGTCTCCAGGTACGTTAGAATTGTTTATGGATACGTGAAATATTCTAATTAGGTACGGTAATATTGAATATCCTCCTACTTTAATTATGTCCGTAGAAATGTCATCTGGACCCCTTGACTTACCATTTTTCATAGATTTTACTTTATTTCGTAGAACGTTCACTTCAATACTAAATTGGTTTGTAACCGAAGACCCTTAATAAATGAATGGTTTGTATTGCTTTTTAAAACCGAACTGAAATACTTATTAAACGCATTAGCTTCTGCC